GGCAATTCAGATTCAGCTCTAAATAATTCAAATTCAGTTTCTACTGACACAAATATCAGCCCATACAGTGCCTGTGTGCCAAACAGTGGACTAAACAACACCCCTGCAGGGGCTTGCATTAAGGATATAGTTGTTTTACATTTCCCTAACTACAGATTGGATATAACAACACACACACTTGGTGCATTGACAAAAAGCGAACATTGAGCCAAGAGGAACAGAAAAACAACTACAGCATTATTTTAAAAATACTTGTACTACTCGCTGTGTCGACAACTGATTTCAAGATTATAGAAGCGCACACTATTTTTTCTCAGCTTCATGAAAAAGTATGGTGAAGTAAGGAAGTACAAAGGGCTCAGAATGAAAATCTAGTACTCTGAAACATTTGCCATAATATGATTTATAGCATATAGGACATCAGTACTCACCACTGTGTGTTTCTTGTTCAGGTGCTTCTTCTTCCTCTTGCCCTGTGTGTGTGCAAGGCGGGGGTTGTTCTCCTGGTCTGAAGGCTGTTGGTGGTGGTGATTGTTCTTGCAGGGCTCCAGGCTCAGGCCGTTAGGGACCCTGACAGGCTTTTTCTTGTGCAGGGGCCCTGCCTGGTTGTCTCTGCACTCTGGGGGCTTCAGTGTCATGTTCTTCTAGAGAGGAAACAGCACAAGAGAAAGCCTAAATTAGTATAAAAACAAAAAAAATGTCACTACCACTGGTAATGTGTTTTACAGCATGTATGAGCTGTGCAGCTGGCCTTTTGAGCACTCTATAATCATATGGTCCATCAACAGTCAAATCAATGTTTCATTACATTTCTGAACCTAAGAAAACCTGCTCATTAGCACACTCAAGAGCTTGAAGAAAAAAAGAGTGGAACATCCACTCATAAAAGCCCGGTTTGACAGGTAGCAAATTTCCACTCTACAGCAGTGCAGAGAATCTGCTCCAAACTGAGGGGCAATTGTGCAGAAAGGCTTTAGATACAGTGTATTATCACAAGATTTTCTTCAACAAAGAGCAGCAGAAAAGTGGTTCTTTGTTAGGTTTTTTTTTTTTTCCATTTTCTTTTATTTGAAAGTACACAGTAGAGACAAAATAGGAATAATGAGAGAAAGAGCAAAATGGGACCCCAGCAGGATGATGTTGCAGTGAGGTGGTATGTGCCAAAAACAGTGGGAATTAGTTGTCTTTTTACAACTCCTATTTTTAGAATTCTTCTGGGTGGGTTGTCATGGCATTTTGACATTAACCCTCTGAATTTTCATCCAGTGGCACCAGCAGGTCAAAGGTTTCATTTATTAACTGATGGCATATCATTTTGTACAGACATTTGTGGTTCCCAGATGATGAATACTAAAGAACTTTATGGTCTCCTTATATTTACTGTAGTGTCCCCATGAAGTTGATATTTATGGTTTTGATTGAAATGTCTCAGCAACTTCTACAATGGCTGTCAAGACATTTGGTATAGATAGTCATGGTCTCTCCAGGATGAACTGTAAAGACTCTGAACAACATTTAAGCGTGGCATGAAGTAGAAGAGGCAAAGACGCAGACATTTAGAAACTTTGATTAAGCTTGTGTTTACCTGTAAGGCACATTTCTGAGCCAGTAACAGGACAGCACAAGTGCAGCAAGAAACATCAACACTTTTTATGCTTAGTTTGCCCAACACATAAAAAAACTACATCAGAAGACATTTCTTTTCATGAAGAAAACTGGATTCTGAACACAAACCGATAAGCTACAACTCCAATATTGCAATGTACACACATGGGGTTATACAGTTTGACAGGGCTGATCAATAGAACCACTCATCTGCTGCTGAGAGACTGTGTAATGTATCACAGCCGCCCACAGTAAAACTTATGGAACAAATCAGCTTTGTTATTTGAAAGGGTGACCTCTTTTGCTCCACTGTGGACCAAAGAGCCATTGGTGTTAATACCCCCAGGGAGACATTCAAGCTAGCGAAGCAGCCATCAGAGTGAAGGCTGACTGCTGAAGGGGAAGGTGCAAAGCTGCTACAGTTCCACTAATGACATGTCAATACTCCGCAACATTTTAAGGCTGGAGAGACATGGTTGTGAGACTATCTAGTGGCATTAACGTCTGGATTCATGAACACTTTTAGGGCAAAGAAATGTAATATATTTATGATGTGGTAGCTTAAAAAGGACCTTTTCTCTGCAGTCATGTGTACTGTTTTCTTTTTTTAACCATGACAATGAGTGTGTGAGGATTATTCCTGCAACAACAATAACGCTCCTCTTTGCCGTTTTTACAATATTCTTGATATGGCTTGGCTTATTCTATCTTCTGCTTTCTAAATCCTCCAAATCTCTGCTACTTGAAAAGTTGCCAATTTTCCACTAAATGACAGGGATTATTTCCCTCATTTCTGTGTTATCACAAATTTAGGTTAAATTAAGGTTCAGATGGATCATGGACACTCTCCAGGGGCAACTACATTTATTTTACAGCTAGAGTTAACAGTTACTTTGAAGATCAAAGTTATTAATCAAAATATATAATGAACTGTAAAATACGATGAAATGTTATAGATTTAACTATCTTCCAGTATGTAAAGTCAAATACACAGTAATGCATTCATAATAACAAAATAATCTTATTATTATTATTACAATCACACTGATGCCAGTTGAGTTCTTTTACTCTGTATACTTTTAAAGGTCCAGTGTGTACCATTTAGAGAGATCTATTGGCAGACAATGCTATTCCTACATATGGCTGTCCTCATAATAACTAATAACAATCTGTGGGTTTTTTACTTAGGAATGAGCAATTTTTATCTACAGGGAGCAAGCCGCCTTGTTGAACTGCCATGCTTCTACAGTACCCTAGAATGGACAAACCAAACACTGGCTCTAGGCCTTTTGCAACCATAGTTTCTCCTACACACTTGGAAAGGAGGTTGAGGCAACTGTATTCAAACGGCTGCCATCTGCAAATTCACTAGATGCCACTAAATCCTACACATCAGTCCTTTAAGTATATTTTGCTGCGAATACTTTACTACATTTATTTGCAGTGTAGTGAGGCTGTATTCAGACTGACTTGAGCCCTGATGAAAAGACATGCAGCCCAATCATTCATTTGAATGAGACCAGTCCATCAACTGTCAATGCAATGCAACCTGACATTATCTAGCAAGACACTGCTTTGGAGTGGTGCAATTCTACAGTTTACATCGTGACCATGGTGACGAAAGAAAATATAGTGACCACTGTGATCATTTTCCAAGGCTGCAAAATCTAATAATATTACCCATTATGCAGTGTATTTCATTGTATCACTGGTACCTAAACAACACTCCTACCCTACACTAAATGTTAGGCTGTTTTTAGTCTGAATTCCCCCTAGTTTTACTTTAAGGTATTGATACTTTTACCTGCGTAATAGACACTCACATTCACCTCACACATACTGGGGCATTTTTCTTCTTCTTAGAGTGAAGACATTTTTAGGTGTGGTTTATAACTGCACTCACGCTTGACTCCACTAAACCCTGCCTCAGTCCAGGATTTATCCCACAGCCCACAGAAACCACAGTGCGCCTCATATTTGGTGTACAGTGCACATGAGGAATGAAATCAAGACACATTTTCCACAAAATACTGGTGGAAAAAAATCCACCACATTTCAAGCAGCAGCAGTTGCTCGGCGAAGGACCACCTCGAACCAACCTTAGCATGCCTGTAGAGAATTACTTCACCAGTGTTACAGATATGCACTGCTGTCAAAAGGATGAGTTTGATGGGTGTGCTACTGGCACTGACTCACTAAACCATTTCTAAAGGCCTTGATTCACTCGTAGAAAAACAAGTGCATGCATCAACTAATCTTGTTTGCCTTTTCCGCCCACACTCATCCAAGGCAAATAATGCAACATGACATGCATTGTCAGTACACAGAATATGTGACAAAGTTATGATGGGGCTGAGAGAGCTTTCATTGTGCTTGCTTTCTGCATGCGTCTAAGCCTCCAAACCAACTGATTGCGTGGAATAAATGATGCACATTATGTTTTGCCTGCTCACTGAACAATAGCAAGACAAATTCCTTATTTCAGCGCATTATGATGACACTGAAAAAAAGTAATTGCTCAATATGGCTCATTCTTACTAGCTTTCATTACGGTGATTGTCTGGCAGTGTACAAAGTAATTACACTGTGGCATTTAGTGGCAATGCATGTCGGCAGGTGTCCTTACAACAGGTTACAATCTGGAAGGCAGCTATTATAATCAACTTTATTTTAATTTTTTTTTATTAAGTTTGGATTCGGGTTGTACAATGTATCACATCTAATGTGAGATAAAAACATATTACTTTCAAATATTCTGTTATTAATCTGATATTTTAAGGCAAAATTATACATATTTATATATTCTGGATTTCTTTTCAATCAGAGTGAAGGAGTAGATGGAATTATAAGTTTAGTAATGAAAAGTCATATCATAACAACATACATTACATAAAATTATTCAAAGCAGAACATGTCTGGAGGGGATCTACTGTATAACTTTCACTGTTAATGTGTCATTATAGCAGATACCCAGATATGATTGCAAACTGGATCTGGAGCTAATGTCAAAAGCTACCTGCAGTCGATTAATATTGTTCACCTCATGCAATTTTCTGTCAAATATTCCAAAGCTGCTCAACAATTCATATACAGTACAGTTGTGAAGAATAAATGTGAAACAGCCTCTCCTCTTCCTGACTGTGACAGTAGCGTCGTATGCTACTATCACAGTCAGGGAGAGGCTGAATGAAACAATGGAAAGCTATGCCTGCCAGAGAATACATACGGTTTAAAATAATAAACTGAAATGAATCAGTACATAAATATGACGAATTGAAGGGGCAGAGTGCGGTCAGTGGCTTATTCCAGGAGCAGGATTCAATAATCACTGCAGCATGGGATATGTCTCATCCAATCCAAAAAATTTAATTTGTGTGCTTGCTTTTTTTCTTAGAAACATCTATGTATGCTCTTCCTGTTCACTGACTAACTTTCAGTATACAAATTGTACCCATATGAAACTCTGCTCTACTATGTAATAACTTCACATAGCTGTATTTCAGAATTGATTTAAGAAGGCTTTAGCAGAGCCCTTAAGACAACCATCATCTTCTCACACATGTAAGGGGGTTTAATTCATTCGATGCATTCTTATGCCCCCTCTTTCACTCTCCTTTGTTTTGTGTTTGAACACCACCATGGAGAACCTTTCCTGTCTTTCCTCCATTTGCAGGAGCACTCTGAACTCAATGACTACAGCAGTATATTAACAAGCTGGACCTTCTCTGGTCTCTCACAGCATGCTGGCATTTGAGCCACCAAACAGACAAGCCAGCGTGAGGCTGATCAAAGAGTCTGATCAACTTGTCTTACTGTGACAATTTAATTAGTTTACACAAACTGGACTCCCAACAGAGAGGAAAAGAGAGAGGGATGGATGGGGGCAGAAAACACGAACTGACAGAGATGGTGAGAGAGATGGAGAGGCAGAGAGAGCACTCAAACGCACAACTTAATGACACACACACACACACACACACACACACACACACACTTCAAACATCAACAACATCAACAGATAAAGTAAACAATAATTGGA